CACCTTTCATTCGTGCGAAGACAAAAGTAATGATACCTTAATGTCTTATATATTTTTAATAAAAACTGTACTAACCACGGGTTATCGGTTAAGTAAGCTTTATATGTATTTATTTATATATACATGAAACTAAATATAGTTTAAGGTATGCTATATTCATTGGTCAAAGTGCTCAATGTCAGAGCTATGTACACCCTTATGCAAATTGATTCCGTTATTATTTACTCTTTTTCATATTTTTCGAATGAAACATGACCCAGTACACATGTTAGTACTTCGTATGTCCATTCCACGAACTCTTTCCCTGTAGAAGGACCAGAGATACTCAAATGGATTTAAATCAGAAGATTTTCCGGGCCTATTTTGATTTGCATACTGGTAAGGCTTGCCAGTGTGTTCGTGCAGCGTTAAAATTTTCATACGTTTCCTTGGAGTAACGTCCATCGCAGACAATGGCAGTGGAACAACTAATCGACAGTCGAGACAATAGTGTCTGGGCGGGATAAAAATCTGACGAAATCACGCATGACACAATATATTTCAAGGCCAAACAATTTTCATCTTACACCCCGAAAACAGATTCATATTACTGCACAACACTGCAAATTACCTAATCTGAAGAAAAAAATAGAAATCGATTACACCCTGTCACTCCAGTGGGTCTAAAACTGACCTTATGATGAAAGAAAGCAAACTAAAGCGGTTGTTTCAATTAATTTGCATAAGGGTGTAAATGTAAAAATAGATATTGAGGTCAACACCCAGCGGCAACAGTCTGTTTCATGCTTGTACGCAATCGACATGGCGTCAAAGAAACATGTATATTCAGGCCGCTAGACGAAAATAAATATAGTGTTTAATAAATAAACGGGGCGTCTACTCAAATACGAGTATCCACTAATCCGACAGATTTTTATCACTTTAAACGTTATTACGTTTAAAGTGATAAAAATCTGTCGGATTAATAAAAAAAAATCCATTCTAAAATTCACTTTGTTTACCTTAGGATACGAATCTGTGCAGCTGGGAAAAACTTCGAGAGATCTATGACAGGAGAAATTTCGCATGGAAGCACGAAATTTGTTCTCGCCTAACCGACTGTTCTCCGTAGACAAGTCAATAAGGCTAAACGGTAGATCACAAGGATGCAGGATCGATTCCTGTCGAATGAGAGCAAATCTTTTATAATCAGATTTCTCGAACATTCAGGCCGGTAGACAAAAATAAATAAATAAACGGGCGTCTACTCAAATCCGAGTATTCACCAAAAATAATGTTTAAAGTGATATATATATATATATATATATATATATATATATATATATAACGTAAATAAATTTATATATATATATATATATATATATATATATATATATATATATATATATATACTATCACTTTAAACGTTATTTTTGTGAATATATATTTTTTTTTATATATATATATATATATATATATATATATATATATATATATTCAGTAGATATATACTTATTTTCCAAGTATGGCCAGTACATTATGGCCGTGTTCATAATTAAGGGTTGGGTTAATGATTTTTATAAGTGCATCTATAATTTTTTTATTTTTTTTTTTTTTTTTTTTTTACTGTCTGAGGTTCGCATCACATTCGTGTTTCTCGACGAGCATATTGCGCATTGATACATTTCCATGGTGGTTTATTGTGTCCGTATTGTGCCTGATGCCAAGTTCGGGGAGGATAGAATCATGAAGCTGCATGAAACATTGCGAAAGATAGAGAAGCAAAATAGCACATATGTGGTTGAATAAATATGTACAAATATCTAAATATTGTCTTCAAAATTTACTTAAAAAACCTACAAACATTTGTTCCGACCCAATATAATAGATAGATAGATAGATAGATAGATAGATAGATGTGTTATGGGAACTTACCTATAACGATAATGGACTCTTCCTGACACTATAAATACTATGCCTCTCAAGAGGTATAATGAATGAATGGTGTAACGAGTCGAGACAATATTATTTCACTCTAAACCAGACAGACAGTCATTACTAACAACTTCAACTTCTTGTACTATATTTCTCTTGTAATATATCTTTGTTATTCTACTCTTGTGTTCGTGTTGTTCTTCCTTGGTTCTAATCTTGGACCATAACTGTGGTGCGAGGATATTGGACCATAACAATATGTATGTATGTTTTGTGTATATTTAGGCAGCAATTTTTCATTAATGCATGTTTCATTAAATACTAATATATCTACAACAGATCCTAACAAAAAAAATTAGCTTAATCATATACTACACTAAATCCAACATAACTATTCGCAATGATTCTTCCCCCACCCCCGTTAGTGATTTGCAAAAATCCAACATAGTTTACATATTCAAGTGCCCTTTGGGAGATTGTATCTCCAATGGATTAAATAATATTTATGTTGGTCACACCACAAACTCGCTTTCACGGCGCTTGACTCTACATTTAAATGATAACTCTAACATTTTTAGGCATTTAAAACAACATGCCTGGTCGAGTACTCAATTCCGGAAAATACTTGTTTACAACACAACTATACTCAAACATGAAAACAATAAACAAAAATTCTTGAGGCTATATACATAAAACAGTTGAAACCTAACGTGAACAAAATAAACTATGAAATCTCCACAAATATTCTTAAATGCCTATAATTGATAACAGAAGTCATTGGTTTATACCAACGGCTTCCCATACTTAATACTTCTCGTTTTCACTCTCGCGTGGTGATTTGTGACGTCACGAGCTGCGACGCGATTTTCGCCTCCGCGTCTCGTATACAAGAGTTTGTCGTTGCTTTGAAATTTTTCATGCAGCAAGGGCGAACTATCATTGTTGTTTCGTCTGTGTGTTGTTTGATTTATTGAAATTGTCATCTTTAATAATGGCTTATGTAAGCTGAAAGCTTAGATTGGATTTAAACATGTATCAATATGGTGTTTTTCTTTCGTCTTTCAATGATAATGTGATTAAGCTTATCAGACAATATGAAAGGAACTTACTTAAAATAAATAGACAAAACTTGTCTATATTATTTAATGAAACATGCATTAATAATATATATATATGTGTGTGTGTGTGTGTGTGTGTGTGTGTGTGTGTGTGTGTGTGTGTGCTTATGTATGTGCAATTTTGATTAAATTCACTCGACAATGTCTGCCTGTAGTATTTTTATTGTATTTTTCCAATTTTTGAATGAAATGTTTTAAATTGGGATCGAAATTGTGCATAAACAGTACTTAGTTATTCGTTTTTAATGAAACTTGTACATAAAAGAGAGATTGCTGCAATATATATATATATATATATATATATAATTATTTTTTTAAAATATGATTCGTTTGCTACATAAGAGTTCTCATGTTTCAAAAACAAGAGCAAAAATCTTCAATATATTTATTAAAATTAAATTGAATTAAAATATTAAGCTCTGTTTCATCTTCAAGCGAAATGAAAAAATAATTATAATTCAGGCTCTACTTTTGTATTGAGAAATTTAAAAAAAAAAAAAAATACTAAAGAACTTCGGATTATTTACCTAACGTGTTCTTTCCTATTTTTCTATATGTTGGCACACACAGACACACACACACACACGCACACACCCACACACGCACACACACATATATATATATATATTTATGAGAAAGAGAAACGTATTCTACTCACTAGTGACCATATATATTTATATATATATATGTGTGTGTGTGTGTGTGTGTGTGTGTGTGTGTGTGCCTGTGTGTGTTAGTGCGTGTTTCATGCGCATTTACCAAAAAAGCACACACTATCAATGACATCCATTTTTTGTCTTAGCAATTCACCCATGAAGATGATCTTGGATGAGATTGAAAATATGTGGGAAAATAAAAGAAATGAATAAATACGGTGCCTCCCTTAATGAATTTAATAACAACATTAAGAAAGTGATCCGTGAATTTGAGAGGATATAAATAAAAAGAAATAAACATAATATGTGCAGGTTATATATATATATATATATATATATATATATATATATATATATATATATATATCCCAGAATAATTCTGAAGACAAATTGATTTAAAAATGACAATTGGAAAAAAATCTTTGTTCTTGTTTCTTTCGCTTTCATTGCATGCCTTTGATATAAGCCAAAAACTAACATTTTTTCCAATTGTCATTTTTACACACACACACATACACGCGCACACATACATACAAACACACGCACTCACACACATATATATATATTATATCATAAAGAAACAACTTATACAAAGAATCAATTAGCAATGTTAATGTGATTGCGAAATCACTTCGCTAACAAGTCTTAATGAGGTATTAACTTACTATTTATTCCTTGAATAAGATCATTATATTCGGATATATATACTCTACTAATTGGATTATACTTAGTCCATTTCATTTTAACAGATAAATACATGGATTTTCGTGGATTTTCAAAAGTCAAACAAAATTCTCACTTGATCGATTTGAACAAAAACTCTAGAGTCGTGGCATCGCACGCCCCAAAACATACTCAATATATCGCATAATTTTAAAAAAATATATATCTTTCGGTCTACATATATTTCATCTTAGTGCTTGCCTATGTATGGAAAAATTGCGCCCTGAAGATGACAGTTTGAAATAGTCGAAAGTACTTGGCATGTGTCTTCCATATTGAATATGAGGATCTTATTATTCAAGGAATAGAAGAAGTGAATTCATACTTTTGCCAAGGATATTTGCGCGTAGGTGAATATAAAGAACCCGACTGAAATTGGAACTCAACACTCCGACTTCCAATTTCAAGTCGTTAAGCACTACACTGACTGCACATTCACACTTGCAGTACCTGATATTTCTATCTCGGTACTGACCAGGTTCGACGTTACTTCACTTCGGTTTTCTTGCGAGAACCAGTGTTTCAGTGTCATATGGCCGTAAGCGTACATCTTCAGTAAATATTCTTTTTTTTCTCAGTGATTTTATAAATGTTTCACATCTCTCTCTCTCTCTCTCTCTCTCTCTCTCTCTCTCTCTCTCTCTCTCTCTCTTACACACACAGATACACACAAACTCTCAAAATATTAGGTTGTCACACATGAAATGACGCATTTTTGGTTGGTTGTTGATCCGGTCGTCTAACGAAGTAACCTCTTTAGTATATTAAAAATCTTTACTTATATGTCACTGTTTTTCTCTCCAGATAATTTTTCTTTCGATATATTATTACTTAATCTCTATCTCTCTCTCTTTCTCACACAAACATACTCTCTCTCTCTCTCTCTCTCTCTCTTACAATATTTTACATTCCTCTTTTCTCTATTTCTTATCCTCTCAATCTTTCTTCCTCCCTCTCTCTCACACACACACACACACTCTCTCTCTCTCTCTTTCTCTCTCGGTATTTTACATCCCTCTTTTCTCTATTTCTTATCCTCTCAAACTTTCTTCCTCCCACTCACTCTCTCTCTCTCACACACACATAAAAACTCTCTCTCTCTCTCTCTCTTGCAATATTTTACATCCGACGTTTTTCTATTTCTTATCCTCTCAATCTTTCTTCCTCTCTCTCTCTCTCTCTCTCTCTCTCACACACACTCTCTCTTTCTCTCGGTATTTTACGTCCTTTTTTCTCTATTTCTTATCCTCTCAATCTTTCTTCCTCCCTCTCTCACACACACCCACTCTCTCTCTCTCTTTCTCTCTCTCTCTCTCTCTCTCTCGCTCGCAATATTTTACATTCCTCTTTTCTCTATTTCTTATTTTCTCAATCTTTCTTCCTTTCTCTCTCTCACAAACACACACTCTCTCTCGCAATATTTTACACCCCTCTTTTCTCTATTATTCATCCTCTCAGTCTTTCTCCCCCTCTCTCTCACACACACTCTCTTTCTCTTTCAATATTTTACATCCCTCTTTACTATATTTCTTATCCTCTCTATCTTTCTTCCTATCTCTCTCGCTCTTTCTCTCTCTCTCTCTCACACACACACACACACACGCAGAGATCAGTTTTATTTTCTCTCTTTTTACTTATATTTAATCTTTCTTCCTATGAAACAACAAAATCTGTGAAAAATGCTTCTTTTTTTTTTAATTTAGCGAAACAGAAAACACTTCAGTTCTCAAGCAACTTAGTTATTTTTAACTGTCACCATATTTTAAATCATTTATTTAAAATCTTAATTTTCTTTCCAAGGTCGTAGAAAATAAATATTAGAAAATAAAATGAAAAAGACGACAAATATTCAAGTATTTATTTAAAGCTACCTCCACTAAAGAATTCCTGTAACATCACACACGTTCCAAAACGTTTTATTCAAACTGATTTCCGTTTTAAATAGTTTAGAAAATGTATGATGTTCGTTTTTATTTTTCTATTTTTTATTTTTGTTTTCTCCTGGACGGAATCGTTAACAAATAAAAGATATTCTTCTGTTTTTCCTTTTCCGCCATCACAATTGATCAATTCTTTCGCATATCTTTTCTCTCAGTTATTGGAATTGTTTCATTTCAAAATGGCATTACAAATGTTAATTATGTATGTTGATCACTTTGGTAAAATGTTTAATCAAAACTTTCTGGCAATGAGATATCTAAAACAGTAATTATCTCCAACAACAAAAGAAAACAAATATATATGTTGGATATAAGACAACTACATTATCAATTATACTATAGTATTCCTCTACACATGTCTGACCATTCGTCCATTGCAAGACATTTGCACCAACCTTCCTGTCCACAATCACAGTATAGAAAAATACTGGTTAATAACACAACTATCCTACACCAAGAAAATAGCAAATTAAAACTACTTATCCTCGAAGCAATCTACATTTAAAAATTGAAGCTGACACTAAATAGAATCAGTTACGAATAGTGTTATAATTGTTCTAAACAATTTTTTTTTTTTTTTTTGCCAGTGAGACGCGCTGCAAGAGCCACTCCGTTTCGCAAGTCTCGTCCCTTAATCGAGACGCAATCGCGTCAATCCTCCGAAGGAACGTCATCGAACGAGGGCCAATAACCCCTGAAGTCTCCACTACCAAAGGAGTAAAAAAAAATCTATCAGCAAGAGAAGAATATTTAACTAAAATAAAATTGTTTATAGTTACTTTGTTCAAACTATTTTCAATAAATAAATTTCTCATAAAAAAATTATTCTAAAATGCCTATAAAAAGAACAGGTTCACGCTTTAATGAACGCTTGACAATGATATTTCAACCTAAAAGAAAAAAATCATAGTAGATAATTTTTTTACATTCTAATGAACGCTGAAGCATAAATGTCAGCCGTTGCATTTAAAAGCAAAAAGCAAAAATTCAGTAATGAATAGCTACACACAGTTTTTGCCTTACCATGATGATGAACGCAGAATGAGATGGAAAGTACTTGCGAGATAAAAGTGATGTTCACTGTTATAGGACATTTCTTGCATCATTTGATTGTAACACACGGAAAAATATCCGTGAATATGAACGGATTAGGCTAAAAATAAGCAAATACAATATTTGTAATTTATTTAATCCCTGATCAGTAATTCTATGGGCATTATTTATTATCTTTTTATTTATTATCACATTATTTATCATCTCTCAGTTGCGTCTCTGTCCTTGGACAGAGTGCTCTCAGGGGCTTCTCTGTCTGAGGACAGAGGGTAAACTGAGGAAAATTATACTGAAGAGGTGCCCAGCCCTGGGGAACAGCTGCCCGAAGCCGCGCCTTCCCATTGCACAAGAGGGAGGGATCGGTGCTCGCACCGAGGCCAGCGCAACCGACGGTTGCGTGGGCTGAGGGGAATTTTTGTCCCTGCCCGAGTGTACGCGCTCGGGTCCCCACATTAATCCGACCTTGTGTCACATCTCATTCTCGTGGGGGGAATGAGTAAACACGGCACTCATCAGGGTTGTGATCATCTCCTGAACCATAACAAGTTTAGTCACACACAAACAGAAGACTTGGACGTCGTCAACAGAAAACGATTTCTTTATTATTTTTTCTAAGATTCAGCAAATACAACGCTCGAGAGTCACTCAAGGTAGAGTGTTACGGAATGAACTGTATAATATGAGTTTAAGACGGAGTAGTAAAAAAAAAAATGAAAATTATGAGGATAAGAAGAATAAATAATGATTGATCCTAGACTTGAAGAGGTTAAGATCATAGCGTTTAGGGATGATTCACACGGGGTGGCGGGTGCTGTTTCAGAGCATTGTCATTCTTGGGTAAAAGCTGTCCGAGTAGAGCTTTCTTCTTACATTTGGAACACGAAAGAAACCCGCTTCATTCGACATAACCTGGAAATGAATGTCTGTCCTCAAAAAAAAAACAATCTTCTCGAGCACAAACAATCAATAAAACGGAAGCAGCACATAAAAAAAAAAATTCAATCGACAGCCGTAAACATGTTAAAACAGAAACGATCGAATTCAATTACATGCAACAAATGGATATCCACCGGCCAAACAGAATATATTTTGATATATTGAATATATCGATATGATGCAAATGATTACGCTCACGTATGTTGCACAATGTTTGAAAAATCTTAGAAGTGTTTTTTTTTTTTTTTTGGCTTATGCAATCACTAAAAACAGTGCGTCATTCCAATGCCTCTGACAAACGTTACAAAAATGGATTCCACCTGAACTTTCAGAAATGATTATCAGTTAGTATCTGAACACGTGACATACACAGTTTAAACACCTGCTTTTCTCTTCTTTAAACACTTATCTTTCTCTTCTTTAAACGCTTGCTTTTCTCTTCTTTAAACACTTGTTTTCCCTACTTTAAACACTCGTCTTTCTTTTTTTTTTTATTTAACCACCCGTCTTTCTCTTCTTTAAACACCCGTCTTTCCCTTATTTAAACACTTGTCCTTCTCTTTTTCTTTAAACACCTGTTTTCTCTTCCTTAAACACCTGTTTTCCTTACTTTAAACACTTGTCTTTCCCTTTTTCTTTAAACACGTCTTTCTCTTATTTAAACACCTGTTTCCCCTAGTTTAGACACTTGTCTTTCTCTTTTTCTTTAAACTCCTGTCTTTCTCTTCTTTAAATACTCGTCTTTCTCTTATTTAAATACTTGTCTTTCTCTTCATTAAACACTTGTCTTTCTCTTCATTAAACAGCGGTCTTCACTTCTTGCTCGACACAAGAAAAGGGCATTTTTAAGCAAAATGTTCGCCGGCGACGAAAGATGGATTTATTTTGTGAATCCGAAACAAAGGAAATAATCATTAGATGCAGTACAGACTTCAACATTTCATTCTAAACAGAATCAAGCATGAAAGGTTCTTATTGATATTTGAAATGGACGTAGCGGAATTTCCTTATTGTGAACTGTAAATGGTAATGGTAATACTAACCATTTCCTTATAAGGAAACATTCAGAATTCATTGACCGAGCAGCCGGTGCAACTTTTAGTCGAAATTTATCAAATCTTTCTATTTAAACACCTTTTCAAGAAAATAGATTTGTTAAGTCCAATAACTGTTATCAATTTCTATCGATTCTGTTATCGATCGGGGTTTCCTTCCTAACATTTTCTATAAAGTAGTGTGGAATATCAACATCTTGATTATGTCACTACTTTCTCTTCGGGTTACATGTGGTATCTATTTTAGTTGTTGTTACTATTGTTGAAAGTTTTCAAGAGGTTTCTACTATTTGGTACCGTTCTTTATGATTTTGTAGCACCAGTCCATGAGATTTAATGAAGATTGCCCTCGTAAGACTCTTCATTCGCTCGAAGCCATTTTTAATTATTGATCTGAGAATGTGGTTGTATACAGATAAATGTTTAGATATCTCTGAACGAACTTGATGTCATACATGACATCCGCATGAAAGTCTCGATCTGATGAGGATATTTAGGAAGATGACACAAGTTTTTAGGTTAATGTTTTGCTTTTGTAGGAATCTTTGCTGTAGATATGAAAAATGCTTACTACAACGAACAACTGACTCGTTTGAATGTCAGGTTGAGACCAAAATTATCATTTTATGAGCTAAGAAGTTAACTGAAAGTTTTGCTGCATGAGAATGCCCATCACCATGTTAGTATTACGACACAGCAAATGACCATGGATTTGTGGTGAGTTGTTCTGCTACGAGGCCGTATTCTTCAAACCTAGCACTTTTTAAATTACCACGTCGCTCCAAACCAGAAATCTTTTTGTTTGATCAGCGATCCAAACAAAATGAAGATCGAGAAAGATTCTTGGAATAATTTAATGAATTTCAATAATGTTTCAGATGTAATGAATTTCGGTAATGTTTTAAATTTAACGAATTTCAATAATGTTCAGCAAATATAAGGCGCAAGAAACACCCAAGGTAGAAGATTTTTGAAGGTTTTCCTCAGGACTCAAGACAACATCATGCCTAAGCGGAGACTCAGGCACCGAGACAAGCTTCCTCGATTATTGTGAGGACCAAAAGACCAACAAAAAATAGGGTGTGACAAAGGCCTGCTCATGGCTGAGCTGACATCTCCCACATCCATTATATCATCTCCTACCCCCCCCCCCCAATGGCCAATGAAATAATTCTTTTGAAAATTTTCTAAATATTTTCTACACTTTTGTCCCTCCACTGTCACTATCTACTGAGTTATTTTTTAACAAAATTTCTACCGCTCTTAAAAATACATTTTACCTATTTTGATGTGTGTCATTGAATTACATAGTTATTATTATTATTATTAAATAAATATTTTATTTACATTAATAAATATTTCTTTTTTGTTTACAGGACCACCCATTACTGTGCACGGACATATTTTGGTTAGATCAATGGGGCCAATTTCTGAGAGAGACATGGTAAGGAGGATTTGACGCTAATGAATATTTCATAAGCAAATACGAGGTGTGGTCAAAAAGTATCAGGTCTGGTGCTATGCAAAACAAAAAAAAACTACAACATATATCAACTCGGCATTTAATCACCTTCGAAGTAGTCTCCTTCTAAAGTCACAGACTTTATCCAGTGCCGTTTCCGTTGATAGAAGCATTACTGGAACTCTTGTTTTGGTCCTCGTCGCATTCTTTTGGCTTGCCTCGACGTCTTT